ACCTCTTGACCACCACAGCCCTCCAGCCCATGTACGGCAACATATACACGCTCTTTGATATCCGGTGGACGTTTTTGGGAGCCGTTGCCCTGTTCGAACTAGGCAGTTTGATCTCGGGTGTTGCGCCCAGCTCTACCGCTTTCATCATTGGTCGGGCTGTTGCTGGGTTGGGGACCGCGGGTATTTTCTCAGGGGCAATGGTGATTCTGACCTATACAATGCCGCTGAGAAAAAGGCCAGTCATGTTTGGTGTTTTTGGGGGGCTTTGGGGTGTGTCTAGCGTTGTCGGACCGTTGCTTGGAGGGGCGTTTACAGATAAAGTTACGTGGAGGTGGTGTTTCTATATCAATCTACCGCTTGGAGGGGCGGCGATGGCGGTCATCGTCTTCTTTCTCAGGATACCGAGGAATGCAAATGACGACAAACGCGGCGCTGAGAATGGCAATTCCAAGGCGTCGTTTGGTTCAAAGCTTTTGCAGCTGGACTTGATAGGGGCGGCCACGTTCATTCCAGCCATTATCATGTTGCTGCTTGCTCTTCAGTGGGGAGGCGCCGATTATCCATGGAACAGCTCTGTGGTGATTGGCCTCTTTGTCGGGGCGGCAGTCATGACTCTGATCTTTGTCGGAATTGAGATTTGGCAGCAAGATCGGGGCCTGTTACCACCGCATTTCTTCAAGGATCGCAACGTCCTGGCGGCCATGATGTTTGCCCTGTTTGTTGGCGCGTACTTTTTTCCTCTCGTCTTTTATCTAGGTGAGTTGTATCCTGCTTGCTTGAAGCATCCTTTGGAACGACTTCTAACTAGCCTGGGCAGCACTTTATTTCCAAGCAGTCAAAGGGGACGAGGCCATCGAGGCCGGCATCAAACTACTCCCATACCTAATTTCCTTCGTTCTTGCCTCTATGGCCAGCGGAGCCCTAATCACCATCTTTGGCTGCATCAACCCTGTGGTCCTCTTTGAGACGGCTCTAATGACAGCCGGTGCCGGGCTCATCACCACCTTTTGGCTCGACACCCCCTTTGCCAAGTGGTTCGGATACCAAGTCGTGGCCGGGCTAGGAACGGGCGTCTGTTTCCAGGCCGGCATCCTTGTTGTCCAAAACGTTCTTCCACAGCATCTAATTCCCCAAGCCACGGCATGCGTCCAGTTCTTCCAATCGTTTGGGGGCGCGGTCTTCATTGCGGTGGCGCAGAGTGTCTTCCAAAACGGCATCATCAACAACCTTGTCCGGGATGCGCCGGATATTAGCCCAGATCTGATCATCAATAGCGGTGCTTCGGACATCCGCCAGGTTTTGACGAAAATGGGCCGCGAGGATGCTACTAATCTGGTACTAGGCGCGTATACTCTGGGGTTGAGGAACACCTTCTACATTAGTGCTGCTGCGGCTGGATGTACTTTTCTTGCTGCCTGTTGCTTCGAGTGGAGGAGGATCCAGAAGGGAGGAGGGGAAAAGCAAAAGGCCCACCAGATCTGGCACTAATGGTCAGGAGAATGAAGGTGAGCCGGTGGCCAATGGTGTGAGGCTGGGTGGAACACTGCCCTAGGCTGGGTCGTCGGGTCATCGAAGACTTCCATTGTTCGGTCTCAATGTTACCGCAAGTATCATGGAATAACACCTAGATAGGTACCTAGATGAATAGCACGTTCACCAACCACAATGACTCCAGTCAAACAGGCAGCTTGTTGATGGACGATGTGCTGACTCGGGCCTTGTCGATGCAACGCAAGGGGGCCGGCCGACACTAGTCGAGATTTCGGCCGAAACCTATGGCTCGACCGACGCAGGACCATTGCACCCTCACAGAGATACGGGTCGAGTCTGATAACCCTCGCTTACCATCGAAGCCCATGCACCACTGACTTATATCGGTCGTGTTGGAGTAATCCCAGGAAACGGGAAAAACATAGCCTTCTGTCCGATGAAGAGGGTGTACCCAAATTCACGACAACGCGGGATGATGTTGACGGGGGACGGCCGAGCAAATATGAGTTATCATGATGACGGATGCGGCAGCGATGAAGTTGAGTGAAGGGATGAGCCATCCATACGAGATGTGATTGGTGGTGTCGTCTTCGTTCGAGGCAGGAACCTAGTCAGCCTGATGTAAGCCGCGTGCCTAGCCAGTATAGAAAAGGTCGTGTTTAATCGTGCCAATTGGGATAGAAAAGTGAAGACAGTACGTGGTATTCCAATGCAACCACATTGTCAACCTTGGGGCCCCAGTAGACCTTCCTTTGACATACGATCACTAACCATTGCAAGGAACGCGCCGTGGGTACTCACGTTATCCTCGTCCTTCAGACACAATACCCGGGTGACGCTGAACGGCCGAAGAGGGGTCTCCCATCATTGGGGTTAACAAGACCAAGAGCAGCGTGACTCTGCACTCTAGAGTCCCAGAAAGCTTTGTGTGGAGGTATGTCCCAGGTATTGCCTTCATCACCCGCATTGCAGACACCTGCCATAATGCCGAACTATGGTGGGACGATGGTCCATCGACAGCTGCGCGTCGACAACCAGCCAGCAGTAAAAAAAGAAGACAGGGAAAGACCAAAAGTCTCTCTCAATAAATCAGCCATTATTCGGAGGCTTGGAGCACTGTAAGTAATCCCATCACTGATCAACACCCCGGCGTATGAAAAAAGCGATAGCTAATAAGGTCGATCTGCCAGGGAGTCATACCAGATTGCTCTCCAAACCCTCGATCTGATCCGGAGCAACGTCGTATCCAGTCGCTTTGTGTTGCCAAAACGGCTTGCTCCCACTGCCAGACATCATGACTTGGTGAACGAATTCGAACGAGCCGTTGCGCGCGTCGTACTGGCTCATCCACACATGCAAGTGGGCATCGCAGGCGCCAAAACCAGCACGCCGACGTGGGTTCGTCTCGACAGCATCAACCTCGGAAAAGTGATCAAGTGGCAAACGGTCAAAGGCGGCGATGATGCTTTCCAGAAGGAATTTCAGCAGACGCTAAACCGCGAGGCTGACACCAGGTTCACCAAGTTCCGTGCAGAGCCAGGATGGCGGATCAGGGTTCTTCGCTCGGAGGCTGACACGTCTTTCATCGAGATCCTCCTAATGTTCAACCACACTCACCTCGACGGTGTCAGCTGCAAGAATTTTTACCGGGAGCTCCTCACACACCTCCATGCGTCCGACTCGGGCTTGCACGGCTCCCCACAAGCAAGCCACAACCCGTTCCTGATCGACCACATTCTTACCCTATCACCCACGTCTGCCTTGGCCGCCAGCCTCCCGCCGCCTCCGGAGTACATCCTCCCTTTCCCCGTCGACCCAACAGCGTTCGAACACTTTCTCAAGCACGAGATTCAAACCCCCTCTTCTCAGTATCCGCGCAACGTTGCAACCCATGCACACTGGGCCCCAATCCAGCTTACCAGCCCTGACACAGTTCCGTTCAGGAGCCAAATCCGCACCATGACATTTCCAGCGAACATTGCGGAGGAGCTGGTACAAGCCTGCCGGAAACAGGGGGCGACATTGACGGCGCTATTGCACGGTATTGCACTCGTTTCGCTGGCCCCCTTGAGAGAACTCGTGGCGAAAGCCGATGCCTTTGCCTTTTTGACGCCGATGAATATCAGAAGATATTTGCCCTCTCCTTATTCGAAAGGAAGGACAGGCAGGGTCAAGAACAGATTGGACGCCGAAACTGCCATGGGGAATTACGTGACAATTATCGAGCACGTGGCGGATGAAGAGCTTGTCGGCCGGGTGCGGCGTTCCTTGACGGCGTCCAAGTACGTGTCAGGTTGTAACTTTCAGCCGAACCCGAGGGCAGCGGAGGCAGAGGAGGTGTTATCTGAAGTGCACGACTTGATCTTCGTCGCCGCGCGCCGCGTCCGGGCGGACCTCGCAGCCAAGGGCGAAAGCTGCTCTCCGCAAGGCCTGGAAAACGACATGATCGGCTTCGTGTCGCGAGGGGTCTCGGACTGGAGAAGGCAATTACAAGAGGAAGTGAAGAGACCGAGAAAGTCGTCGTGGGTGGTGAGCAACTTGGGGGCCGCGGAGGGAAAGCCGTTTCATTCCTTGGAGGAAGGTCAGGAGGAGAAGGAGCATGGATGGTCCATAACGCGTATGAGCATGACGCTGTGTGCCAATGTGGTTGCGTCTGCTTTTGGGATCGCGGTTGCGTCGGTCAAAGGAGGGGACCTGGTCGTATCGGTGAGTTGGCAGGAGGGAGTGGTGGATGAGAAGGTAGGAGACGCGTTCGTGGTGGCAATGGAAAAGTGGTTGCGACTGGTCGCGGAAAGGCAGAGGGCGGATGATGTTGTTTGGAGCAAGTGGAAGGTTTGCAGTGACTGCAACTAAGTACCTAGGTACGGCTGCTTAGGTTAGAGGTAGGTGTCATGTACTATCATTATTTCAGATGAAGCGTTAGTAGTAAGGCGGGTTTCCGTGCATTTGGCTGCCTTGCACTAACTGGCCCACTCCGACTGCGTTAGCCACCTTTATGAGTGAAAGGGGAAAGTCCAGGTCGCTTAACGGCAGGCAATGGAAATGACGAGCACGTGATCAGAACGGGATGTCTGCATGGATGTGGATGTGGGCTGTGCCACCCCGCACCCGACCTGAGGTCTGGATTCTCCATAGAAACATCATCTCTTCCCACATCCATTGTCCTGTGGACTGATGACTGCGTGGGAATAGCATCACCACCCTTCCCGTTTTGATACCTTTGCTTACCATTGAAGCCATCTACAGCGTGCCTAGGATCATCGTCTTTTCTGATCTCTTCCTACCTGTGTTTTTTCTGCAATTGATAAGCAAGGCACACTGGTGCAGGATCGCGTCTCCCGAGCCGAGTGGAAAATATTCGAATTCAATTTGACATCATGACCAAAACACCTATCAGCCTATCAAGTTATATGGCTACCTCTACATACAAAAGATCAACCAAAGTCCCGAGCCATTTCCAACTTGTGTGAAAACCCCAACGCCTAACTTCTCAGCTTGCGAGTGCCACCTCAAGCAGTCGCAGACAGGGCCTTGTCCGCAATGGTGGAAGCGCGGGTGCTGATGCTCACGCTGGGGTCCAGCAGATCCAACATGCTGATGTTGGTCCCCAGAGCCTGGATGAACCAGTTGCGCAACTCGGCCGCAATCAGACTGTCGACACCCAGCTCTGCCACCGACTTGGCCGGGTCAATGCTCTCCACGTCGACGAACAGCATCTCGGCCACCACCTTGGTGATGGCATCCTGTACCAGCGCCACCGTCCGTCCTCGCCCAGCCTCTCCCTCGCGCACTGCAGCTTCCAGCTCTGCCCGGAGATGAGCAATCGTGTTCTTGTTGGAACCCTCATCGGCTGCGTCTTGTGACCTTCCCGAGTGTCGCTGTGCGTCCGCAAAGGCGCGCATCATCAAAGACACGCGCCCGTCACTGTACCACCGTGGTGGCACTGTGGAAGATGACGACGATGCCTCGCTGGCCATCTCTTCACGTCTTTTCGCCGCCATTGCTCTGGGATCCAAGTATGTGTGCAAGTTTGCGACAGAAAGCCCGTCATCGTCTTGACCTGACCATTGCCCAGCACTAGTCTCCTCCGTCACCGTTCGGTTGTTTAAGAATGCCGGCTCGAGGAGCGCCAGGAACTGAGACTCATCCAGGGTCAGTGCCTTGTTGCGTTCAAACATGTCGACGGTAATCCCGCTGCTGCCGACATCCGTCACGTCCTTGATCAGGCTAAACGACACAGTGGACGCGGGCAAGCCAAGCTGTCGGCGGTATCGCGCAAAGGCATCCTGGAAGTTGTTGGCAGCCGTGTATGCACTTTGGGTCGCGAAACCATACACCGACAATGCAGAAGTGGTCATGACAAAGAAGTCGAGAGACATCGACAGAGTCGCTTTGTGCAGGTTCTTGGTGCCTGCCACCTTGGCAGACAACCCTTCGTTCCATCTCTCAGGTGACAGCTTGTCAAAGGTCAGATCCCTATATGAGACTGCCGCATGCACGATGCCCTTGATGGGACGAACAGCCGAGATTGCCTTGATCGCGCTGGTCACCTCGTCTTCTTTGCTGACATCGCAGGCAAAGCATTGAATCTCAACACCTCGCCCGGCGAGCCCATTGAGCAGCTCCTGGACACTTGGAACGCTGGAGGCAGTACGCCTCGACAAAAGTGCGAGGTGCCTTGCGCCCCTTCCCACCATCCACCGGACCAAAGATTGTCCCAAGCCCCCCAAGCCTCCCGTCACCACATAGCTCGCTTCGGGGTCGAATTTGACGGTGGGTGCATATGGCGCCATCCGAACCAAACTTTCCGGGTTCTTGAAGCTGACCACTAGCTTTCCAGACATTGTGCCAAAATCGCCAAGTGCCGACGACAATTGTCCAACGTCTGCCGCCGTTATTCTTGGAACCGGTCCAATCACCCCTTGCCGGTAGTAATCGTCGACGGATTGCATGAGCTCGGCCCCAAGCAGTGGATCCGAATCGAAAACGGCGAACGGGTCGATAGAGGCATAGGTGGCATTGTGTGGAAGTGACATCTGACCGACTACTGGCGTCGTCTGCCCATCCACCCCGCCGATATCGACAAGACACCCAAGCGGTGCCAGGACCTGCAGGAACAAAGACAGGAGCTCTCCACGAGCGGCAGTCGCCATGACAACCTCGAACTTTCCCTTGCGCGTTTCCTGAGCTGCGCGCTGGAGCTGCTTCGAGTCGAGGATAGAAATGACATGCGAGGCGGGTAGGCCTAGCTCCTCAACCAGGAACATGCCTTGCTCGGCTGTCTCAACTGTTGCAAACACCTGTGACCGCTTTGCCTTTGCAAGAGTGATGGCTGCCAGGCCAAGGTCCTTGGCGCCCGACTGTATGAGGATTGACTGTCCCTCACGGACGTGAGCGACGTGGTCCAAGGCGTAGAGGGCGGTGGTGTATGCGAGCGGCATCGAGGCCATCCGGATCATGTCATCCTTGGGCTGAAGCTTCGTTGCGAAGGCAGCAGGCACACGGGTGACACTGCCAAACTGACCCTTGCCCACTCCATAGACGCGATCGCCAACTTGGATGTCGTGGACTCGGCTGCCTACGGCTGTGACCACACCCGCATATTCGGAGGTCAGGTAATCGCCATCCACGCGGCCAGCCCAGTGCTCCAAATCTCTTGAATTTACGCCCACAGCATCAACAGCCACATCGATGAAGTCGGCCGGCAACGGCTGCAGGAGGTCTTTGTAGGGAATGAAGTACAATGAGTTCAGCACACCGGGCGTCTCGAAAGCAGCACGTACTCCCCCTGTCTGACTGGGGCTGCCAATCGGACGTAGTTCCGGCTTCATGCTCCTCGTCTCTAAGCCGTACTGGGAGTGGAATCCGGCATCTGGGACGTGACGGCTAACCCACAGGCAACCGTTCTGCCAAGCGAACTCGCGGTCAGCGGGGTCGCCACCATTGCTCTCCCCATCCACGAATACAGAAGCCGATCCGCTGGCTTGACGAAACAGGTCACACTCGCCGTCCACGATGCTGCGAGCGAGCTCGTTTGCTTCAGCAGCATCTTCAACTTCAAAGTTGTCCACGTCGATATCGATGGACATGTACTGGCTGGAGGGGTTCTCAGTTTGGAGCACGCGAAGCAGGCCTGAGATCAAGGCACCCTCGGCAGCCCGTCCCTTGATGGTACCGCAACTTGTCAGAGCGACCAAACTCGTTGCACTGCGTGCCAGGTATTGCATGGTAGCCAGATTCTCCTCGTTGGCCTTGATCAGCAGGTGGCTCTCGTCCAGCAATGCGACCACGCGCGATCCGGGAGAAAGCTCCTTCGTGACGTCGTTGAACGTGATAGCCTTTACATTGGTACCCCGCTGTTGCAGTTCTTGACATATATGATCTACCAGAACTGGTGTTCCGTTGCTGCCACCATGCACCACATGGACAGTCGTTGCCGACTGGGTTTCCGGTAACGGTTCAGGCTCTTGCTCAGGCACCTTGGCAAGAATAACCGAGGTGGTATTATGGGGTTCCGGGAAGTCATCAAGTACCAGGTCCAGCCCTGCGAAGCCTGCTTCTCTCAGGGAACGGTCCCAGTCCTTCAGGCTCTGGAAAGGAGCATCCACACGTCCATCTGGAATGCCGGCCCAGTATCCCGTAAAGGTGCCCACAACAACGCCTGGCACGATGAAGTTCTCCGTTGTCTCAACCAGAACAAGTCGACCACCTGGCTTGAGGAGCCTGCGGCATCTTGACAGCGTCTTGGTCATGTTTGAGGTGGCATGAAGGACTTGACACGCAATGATCAGGTCATATGTCTGCTCCTCGTATCCCTGTGCCACGGGGTCCTCTTCAATGTCAAAGACGGAGAAGTTCATATCCCTCAGATCGGCCATGGATTCCTTGGCCGCCGACAGGAAGCCGGGCGAGATGTCTGTGAAGGTGTAATCCCGGTAGGCCTTGATGCCGTTGGGGCCGTTAAAAGCCTTCATGGCGATCCGCGTTGCGCCACCAGTACCGCCTCCAATCTCGAGAACCCGGAGGTTTGGTTTGGCGTGGGCAAGGCCAGCTAGGACAATGGAGAGCTGTGGGTAGATGCCTGTCATCAGGAGGCCTTCCTGATAAAGTGGTGTTAGAAGGTTCTCCCCGATGATGACTTCCATCCCCGTTTTTCGTTCATACAGAATGTCGGCCGCATTGTCGTGCAGAAGCTTTGCGATCTTGACTTCCATGATGTCAGGTGCCTGGGCGACAAGTTCTTCGATTTGCTGAAGCAGAGCACCCTTAGCTGCCAGCTCTCTTGCCTCTTCCATCATCTCAGAATGATCACTTTCACCCTTTCTGATGATCCAGTCAAAGAAGTGGCCGACCTCACCCGAAGGCTGGGGCCGATCTGCCTGCCGCCCGAAAGTTTCATACATGCTGTATACAATAAAGTGGGCTACCTTGTTCGTGATCCCCCACAGTGGCGCCTTGTCAACATTTTTGGTTGGTGGAGGGTATATCTGGCGAGCTTGGCTGTTGCTGAGCTTACGGATGTCCGGCTTCCACACTAGGCGAGTGTAGGGGCTGCTGAATGCCCTATCCACCGGCTTGGCCTCACTGGAGAAGCTAACGCATCGGAGGGACTCGACGTCAAGCAGAAGCTTTCCATCTGCACCCAGGAACTGCAGATCAAGATGGGCACTCCGGATACCGCGCCGCTGCCCACGAGCCACAACGGTACATGTCTCGCCGCCATGGGCTAGGCTGCTGTCGATGTACAAACCGGAGAATTGTACCGGCACAAAGGCAGTGGTAGCCTCGCTCGGCCGCCCTCCGTGGCACGCAACCAAGCCCAGCTGAATGGCACCGTCCAGGGAGGCCGGGTGTACGGCGTATCGGGACTCGCCACCCTTCATGACACCAATTCCGGGCTGCAGATGAACGGTCGCCACGGCCAAGTTTGACGCCGCATCAACACGGATGTCCGACAGAGGCTGGAACACCGGACCGTAGCCGAGGCCAATGTCCAAAAACTTCTTATACCAAGCCTTGACGTCCACGGCCCTTGGTGCATACGGAGCGGCAACTCGACCGTGTTCGACGTCAATATCATAGCCTGTCTCTTGAATCACCACCTTGACTCGTCCAGTGCAATGCTCCGTCCACTCATTGGTTTCGCGGCCAACTGAGCTGATGGAAAAGGTAGCCCATGCAGGTGATTGCGCTGTGGCAAAGTCGACAAGCTCCATGCTCGTGAGTATCTCAACGCTGTAGTCGTCTTCTGGGATTACAAGGCTCTTCTTGATGACGACGTCACGTAGAGAGAAGCCCTTGACCTCGAACGGCTTGGCGAACTCATCGTAGATGCGTAACGCAGCTTCTACCGCCATAGCGATGTACGCGGCACCTGGCAGAACAGCATCTATTCAACGGAGCCAAATGTCAGCTACATAAGTGCAATATTCGCTGCTTGAAAGAGGGGAGTGCTTACCTGGCACAAGGCGGTGATCGCCTAACCATGGGACGTCCTTCATCCGGAGAATGTTCCGCCATTGGGGTCGCAACTTTGCATTGCCGACGACCTTCGAGCCGAGAAGGTCATGTCTCAACACCGACCGGTACCGGTACTCCTTGCTGGCCCGGCTCTCATGATAATTCAGGCCGTTATAAGTGTACTGGTAGGGTGGCAGATCGAGACAGGTGCTGCCGTGTTCTAGGCCTTCGCTGTGTCCTGCTTCCCCATCAACAGCGTTTACAGCGGCAAGGTCGATGGGCGTGTTTAAAGTGAACAGCGTTCCGGCAAGTTGCAACATGGATAGTCGGGCGTCCTCCTGCCTCTTGAGCGTGGAGGCATACGCCACAGCCTTGCCAGCGGCCTTGACAATCTGCTCCACCGGGCTCTTCAGCGCGGGGTGCGGTCCAATCTCTACCAAAGCGTGGATGGTGACATTCTCGTTGCGTACCAAGCTTGCAACAGCCTCCGAGAACTGCACAGGTAACTCGAGATTGGCCCTCCAGTAAGCGGATGGATCGTCAAACGACCCAGTTGTGTCTTTGTTGGGTTTGACAGACGATACCCACAATGCCTTGGGATACCGCTGCTCTGGTGAGGCAAGGCCGAGCTTCTGGATGTGTTGAAGGCCCTGGCTCAGCATCTCGATGTACTCGCGCCCAATGGGAAGCATGTGGTGTGAGTGGTAAGCATTGCCGCCCGTCTGGAGTTTTCGATTGAAGACGCTGTCGGCGGCCAAGGCTTTCGAGATACTATCAACGGCTGCTGGATCGCCGGACAACGTGACGCTTCCTGGCGAGTTGATTGCTGCTAGCTTGACCTGATCCTCCAGGCCAGAGAGATACTTGGCTACCGCTTCAGGGCCCAGGCCGACAGCCAGCATTGCACCGGTCTGTCGGTTCCGTGATACCGCCTGACCGCGGAAGTAAGCGGCTACGATGGCTTCGGCAGCTGTGATACGACCAGCAGCGTACGCCGCAGCCATTTCACCAGAGGAGTGTCCAGCAACACCGTGAGGTCTCACGGACCATGAAGCAAGCAGATCAACCAAGCCAACTTGTACAGCAGTGCACACAGCCTGAGAAATCTCGGCTCTCTGGATGAGGGCAGCATCACAGTCTCCGGACAAGATCTTCTCTAGTGACCAGTCCGGACCATTGGGCAGTGAGCTAAGGACATGATCCAGGTACTGGATCGCCGTGGAGAACACTCGATACTCAAACAGCTGGGCACCCATGGCATGCCACTGGGCGCCTTGGCCGGTGAAAATGAAGCCAACGTTGGTGGGTTGCAATGGTGCTCTTACCACCCTGCTCTTGGCCGCGAGGCCCTCAACAACCTTGTCTTTCTCTACGATACAGAAGGATCGCTGGGCAAATTTGGACCGTCTGGCACCCAAGGTGTATGCGACATCTGCCAACGGTAACTTGTCGACAACTTGAGACAACGCTTTGAGGTTCAGCTCGAGAGAGTTTTCGTTGTGAGCAGAGAGGGGGAGGAGCACAAGCGATCGTGTGTTGGCGTTCGGCGAGGCGGTCATCTTTGGCCTCTGAATGATGGGACGATGCGAAGGCGTACCGCTGCGCCCGTTTATATGGCCATTCACACCGTTTGTTGTATCTCTGGTGCTGCGCTTGTAGATCCCAGGCGCAACATAATCCGGCAGCACGATGTTGACATGGTCTATGATGCAATGACCGTTGGCACCACCATAGCCAAACGAGTTGATGCTTGCTCTCTGCAAGCGATCCTTGGGCCACGGCGTGACCTCGGTCACTGGCTGAACCTTGGCACCCTCGAAGTCGATGTTGGGATTCCGGGTTTGAAGATCGTAGATGGGTGGGATTGCACCGTGCTCTAGAGCAAGAACAACCTTCATGATGGACGCCAAAGCGCTGGCACCTTCCCCGTGTCCCACGTTACTTTTCACGGAACCGACAAGTAGCGGATCGTCACTAGACCGTTCTGGAGCAAAGACTCTTCCCAGTGCGGCTACTTCGATTGGGTCCCCAACATACGTGCCTGTTCCATGGCATTCAAAGTAGCTGGTGTCGCGGAACGGCAGATTGCCGGCGTTACGGTATGCTTCCCGGATGACCGTCTCTTGTCCGTTGGCACTAGGTCTCGTGATACCGCCGGTTCGTCCGTTGGAGTTGATGGCTGTTCCTCGGATCATTGCGCGGATGGGTGACATATTGGCGATAGCGAGGGAAGGTCTCTTGAGATAAATGGCGCCGAAACCCTCGCCACGAGCGTAGCCTTCCGCCCGAGCGTCGAAGGTGTGGCAGCGCGCAGATGCGGAGAGCGCGCCGAGCTTGTCCAGGGCAATTTGCACTCCGGGATCGGCGATCCAGTTAGCTGAGGCGACGATGGCCGAATCACAGTCCCCGGCGCGGATGGCGTTGACTGCGAGGTGGAGGGCGTACATGGAGGACGAGCAGGCGGTGTCCACCGTGAGGCTGTCATCAGATGTCAGTACATGCCATGTCAGCTGTCTTGTAACCCAGATATGCACAAGCTACGCACCTTGGCCCTTGGAGATTGAAGATGTAGCTGATGCGGTTGGCAAGAATGCTGGTGCCGGCGCCAGTGAAGGCATACGGCCTCGGGTTGTCCCAATCCCGCGATTGTATCATCCAGTGGTCAAGGCAGAAGTTGCCTACAAAGACTCCCGTCCGGGTCCCCGAAACGCTCTCCCACGTCTCTCCGGCATTTTCAATGGCTTCGTAGGCCACTTCAAGTAACTTGCGTTGCGAAGGATCCATGGTCTCGACTTCCAGACCGGTCATGCCGAAGAAGGTGTGGTCAAAAAGACGAGCATCCTGCTCGGCAAGAAAGGCGCCCTTCATGGACATGGAGCCCGGCCGGTCTGAGTTGGGATGGTGAAACCCGGTTGAAGAGAAGCGCGGGTCATCAAACTCCTTCCAGCCGTTGACTTTGTTTCGGAGAAACTCCCAGAATTGAGAGGGGTCATGAACACCGCCTGGCCATCGGCATGCTGCTCTTACGTCAGTACTGGTTGTTTCTGTAGTCGTGAGGTAAAGACGACTTACCCATGCCCACAATGGCCACCGGCTCATGAGTGTCGTGCTTGAAGGTGGAAGACATCGCTATCGTACTTGATGGTGATCTCTGACACGGTCAAGTGTGCAGAATGTTGAATGGAAAAGCGTGTGGACTGTGGGTTGTTGAAAGTAAGTTGCCTGCCGTTTATCTTATGACATGAAGGGAGCAGTGGCTGGTTCCGTCCTTATTCCTCTCTCTTCCTTTCTATGTTCAGTTGAGTTCGGTCCTCTTCATTTATGCTCATTGTCTACGCTTTCCAATTCGTTCTTTCAAGGCCTTGTCAACCATATAGCACCGCCGAGTGCGGTTATTGTCACCAATCCGGACTCCGTGTTTCCGTTGCATCTGATAGTACGCAGTGGTATCAGGATCTGCATTGCGGCTCCGGTGCGAAGTCCTCCTTTCCCCAAATCTTCGGCCGAAGGCCAAGAATCGCAGGCCATGTGGGATAACGATGCAGCTCATCGGCCGACATAGGATGGTGCTTACATGCGGGCACCACAAGTACGGCGGGCCGTGAGAATGTTACCCATCCCCGCCGAACATGCCCATGGCCGTCAGCACTAAAGGCTCGCCAACCTGGGACCTCGCATCAACCATTGGTCGGCGATCTACAAAGATGTGTGGTTTGTGCACCAACTACAGCAATCTGATTCTGAAATACTTGACCTTCCGGTGCCGTTGTCTTCAGAACATCTTGTGAGGTGATTCATTCTTTTCATTTTTACTTCTCCAAGTCATTTCTATCTATTGTTTTTTTCTCCGACAACACTACTACCAAGCATCCAGGATGGGCAGCCTTTCGACAGCCGGCGTGAACGACCCGTCCTCGCCCTCCATTCTGGGCTTGGCGCAGAACATACTTTCCGCCGCCCAGGATATCACCAAGTATCTTCAGGTCAACAAGCTTCCCGAGCCATCCTTTTCCCTTGAATCTCAAGACCCCCCTCACGACCACCCCGAATATCGCCGCCTCCACGCGTCTCTCAAGGCGAACTTGGAAGATCTGCAACTCCTCATTGACGGTCCCAGGAAGTGGCTCAGAGCGTTCTGCTGTACCGGCTACGACCTTGGTGCCCTTCAGGTTGCTCTCGACTTCGACTTCTTCCAGCACGTACCGGCTCATGGGGATATTGCAGTTGAGGATCTGGCCAACAAGGCAGGCCTTGATGTAGACCGTACCAGCCGCATCATCAGACAGCTCAGGACCTACAGGATCTTCGAGGAGTTGCAGCCTAGAAGGGTTTCTCACAGCCCTTCCTCTCTCGTGATTCAGCAGGATGAGCAGCTCCGGGCCGTCGTCCACTACTCTCTTGATGAGATGCTCAAGGCGGCTGCCGACTGCAATGTCAGTCTCAAGGCAAACCCTCACGAGGCGCACCAAAACCTCAACCCCTTTGTCACTCGGCATGGCGTTGGCATCTTTGAGTTCTACCAAAAAGATCCGGAGAAGGCTCGGCGGTTCGCCAAGGCTATGGCGGGCCTGAGGAAGATGGATAGTCACCTTGACTTCCTGCTCAAGGATGGGTTCAACTGGTCTGCTCTCAAGGGGACCGTCGTTGATGTCGGCGGTGGCAATGGTCACATTTCCAAGAGCTTGGCTCAGGTAAGTCTTTGTTTCTCTGCTTCCTCTTGACTCACGACTCGTTCTGACAACGGAAACAGATCTACCCCGATTTGGACTTCATCGTGCAGGACTCCAATGCCGACATGCTCGCTGAAGGCAAAGAATCTCTCACCCAAGACCTCGCCCCCCGAGTGCAATACATGCATCATAGCTTCTTCGATCCTCAGCCTGTCAAGAACGCCGCCGCTTTTCTAATTCGCCAGTGCACTCACAACTGGGCCGACAAGGACGTGGTCACCATCTTCAAGGCATTTGTCCCCGGTCTGGAGAACTCGAGCCCCGAAACTCCGCTACTGATCAACGACATTATCATCCCCGAACCTGGAACCTGGCCACGTCATCAGGAGCGCAATGTGCGCCAGGTCGATATGGTGATGCTCGTCAACTGTGGCGCTAAACAACGCACGAAGGCCGAGTTTGAGCAGCTTTTGAAGCAGGCGGACGAGAGATATGAGATCAAGAATGTCTTTGATGATGGACCATTGGGTTTGCTGGAGGTTTATCTCAGAAGATAGATGGGCCTTGAACAGTTTCGAGGTGGATGATGTGCGTATCCCACATGGACAAGATAAATAAGGCTGCGTTTTTGCCCTTCTTTGACTTTTTTTGTGTTGAACCATACTGCAAAGGAGGCGATCACGGAGAGCAACGTAGTGTAGTGAAAGTCTTGATTGATTGAAGAGAAAGAAAGAAGAGGAGGAAGGAGGATAAAATCCGACTTATATACAGGGTAGCAATGTGTGGATCGTATCCACTAATGCCAAGAGAATGCCAAGAACTGGTGATGGCTTCAACATTTTGCCCATAATTAATTTTACATCTCTCTTTGTTCACTTCTAAAAGACAAGCGCAAACAATTTCCATCGTCAAACAGGGGCCGCATTGCCACCTCTAGCCAGTTACACGAAGCTTCAAGTTGTGGTTCGATCTGATGTGCATACAATGTATCTTGTATCTGGAGTCTGGATTCTGGAGTCTGAAGGGAGAGTGCACTTACAGGGACTTAGTAGTGCTGCAGTCTTGGACCGTCCTATCCGATCTCATCGGCCGACAATGTCTTGGCGATAGAGACAGTGTTGGGCCAGGGTTCTGACAATATCGCACCGAATACAGTGCCTCTCTCCTAGCAATATCTTGGACTCCGGTGACGGCTCATCTATTCACACAACGACAAAGGGAAGAAGGGAACATAGGGCCGATGTTCTATTCTTTATTCTTGGTCGTCAACGTAAACTTACATGGGGCGATAACTGCGAGCCATTTCTCCCTTGAAGCGTTGAGTCATAGCTTGCGAAGCCGCACATAACATTGCTGCGGCACACGAGCAATGCCCTCCAGTCCAGCATAAGATGACAGCGCCGGTGGGGTCTTCAACAGCTCGAAGTTCCAAACAAGCATGGCAATCACGATCCGCATCTCCATGTACGCCAACCTCCTCCCCCAGCACGTACGCGGCCCCAAGCCAAAGACGAGCTGCGGGCCAGCAGCTCCGTCAAAGTCTACATCATCAGTTAGCAGACCGTTTCCTTCCCTTTTGCGTACCAACCACCGCTCCGGAACAAAAGCTGCCAAGTCCTGAGTCTCATCCCATGTGGCATTTATCTTGGAAGCGCGCGAAGTTTCGCTCCTTCTCGATTCGTCGATGGGAAACGACGGCGACAGGAAGCCGGGGCCGTTGGACATGAAAAAGACTTGCGTTCCCTTCTTGATGGGATACCCCAGGATAGTGGTATCAGTCAAGGCCTCGCGAGTGACTGGAACGGCGTTGATGCGGAGCATCTCTTCCATGATGGCGTCCAAGTACGGCAGCTTTGCATGCCGGATCTCCTCGAAGGTGAAGAGGCGGTTCTCGTTTTTAGCAGCACTGAGGGTCGTGTATAAAACTGAACGTAAGTTGCTTTGGACTACGGGATGGTCGGTGAGATACTTGGTCAACCACATCATTGCGCCGCTGGTGGTGTGATGGCCACCGACTATGTTGCCGAACATCTGGACGGAAGAAGCTGTTAGATCGCAACCATGGACAGAACTCGGGAAGAATGCACAACTCACCTCGTCTCGCAACACCTTGCTCCTGAAATCCGGAGCCCGACCTTCCTTTTCAGCTCTGGATGCTTCCCGCATCAACATGTGCTCAATGCCCGTCTGGATACAGCCAGATTGGAAGTTGCTAATGGCAATCTCCACTTGCTCCCTCATGGCACGCTCCTTCGCATCGAAAATGTGTTTGTACCAAGACTGTTTTGACCACCACCAGGTTTGCAACTTGGGCATTAGAGCATTGATGGTTCTTTCCACGATTTCCGGAGCCTCGTAAACGGAATTGAGGAAGTCAACGAGCGGCACCAGCGGGAACACGACCGGCTCGTCGGAGTCCTTACCCTCCATCATCGCATCGACATCTTCGGCCTGCATTTTATCCACACGTTCCATCTGTGGCCCAAGCGAAGTGTGCACCCAGTTCTTGCCAAACGCAAACTCGAGCATCACATCCAGAGATGTGTACTCGAAATCCTTTTTGACGCTAAAAGGCCGTCCGCGAGCAAGAAGCATTTTCGTCTCGAACAACTTCATCAGCTCCAGCCCCTTGCCATAGATTGCCGGGCCCACGTGGTTGTTGAGGAAGCTCGTGGTCATGAGATCCTGAATCAACTGGCGATTGGCCTTGAACTTTTCCCCTGTCATGTAAATGCCGTGGAAGGAGCCCATGCAAGCCATCCCATCAGACAAAAAGGACGACTTGTCGAATTCCTTCCGCCGCATCAGGATGTCCTTGGCCTCGCGGAAATCGGCGAGAAGCACCCAGGGCTTGGAGAAGGGCCGGATGAAGATTTGGCAGAGTGGTGAATTCATCTGCTTCATCTGCTTAGCGCACCAGACACGGAACTCGCCCGTTGCGCTAACTTCTTTGATCATGGCCGGCGCATCTCCGAGGAGAGACTTGGCAGCCTGGGGGTTGTAAGGGATGCCGGGGATGGGTTTGGGGAGGAGCCATCGGTACAGGCTGTAGAGACTGACAGTAACTGTGAGAAGGACAAGGAGAGGATCTGTGAGATTGGAGATGTTGTCAAAGAATGGGATACTTTGCTGGACGACTGGTAACATGATGGGCCAATATGGCGGCTAGAGGATGTTGTTGCTGGACTTCGATGTTTTCTGGTGAAAGTTTGTTGAGCGCCCATCAAACAGTACATGGTTTGCGTAAACACCTTTGGAAATGGGCAAGGTACTTGATACTTGGACACCAAAGGCAAGTTGTGCAGTCATCACTGACAGCAGAACAGCCCAGCCGAAGGCACAGTCGGTCCTCGTTGGTTGTGACGGGACCACAGTCCACATGCCACCCACCCAGAGGTATCGGGCTTCTCAGCTGGCTGTCTCGGTCTGGTTTCTTCGGGCCTGGCGTCGGGGCTGAGAATGGAGTGCTGATCGAGACTCAGGTTGTCCCTAGGACAGGGGTCTAGAGCATCGGAGTTTTTGACAATAAGTCGTCGGCCGACAAACTTCGGCTTGCGCGGGGCTCACGGTGACCTTCGGTTGTATCAACCGAACACAGTGGAAACACCAGTCTGCATGATGGATCAGGTTCTTTGGCTGCCACCCGGTCACATTCTCGTGATGGCTTGACTGTCCAACCCCAGAGGTACCTACCCTAGGTGCTGTGCCACAGGCTGTTGACCTGAGCCTCGCCTCAACTCTCTTCGATTGGTTCATAGGCCGAAAAATGACCACGATGCTGTCTCGGGAGAATTATTGAGATGTTTTTGCAAACCAAACTGATGGCCGATGGGCTGGAAGGCAGAAACGATGAGTACGTACCCAGAAGGGAGTCAAAGAACATATAAACCTCTGGTTGAAGGTCACTTGAAGATCTTCACTGCAAGGCAACACGTCGTCGCATCGCATTGCATTGCGTTTCAACCAAATTCCCGCTTCAACTGGTCAAGCAACTTCTTCGATTGCAACATGAAAGGCCTTCTCTCCCTTGCCAGCTGTCTTGGCATATTTCACACGCTGGTTGCAGCTGCAACCATCCCATCCTACTTTGAGCGTTCTCCATCAACCCCTCGCAAGTTGAGCGTCGCCCAAATCCAGCGTGAACTTGGTTCACGGCTCTCGAAGAGCACCATCATTTTCGGACCCGAGGATGCACGTTACGAAGACGCTACGTCGAGATGGAACGATTTTGCCAAGCCAAAGTTCCAGATCGTCATCGAGCCTGGCCAGGAATCCGATGTAGCCAGTATTGTAAGTTTTATGGCGTATGGTCAGTGTCACACAGTAGATCACAAGATGCTGACACGAAAATGCAGGTAAAATACTGTAACGAAAAGAGCATTGAGTTCTTGGCCATCAACAAGGGTCATGGATATCCCTCTAGTCTCGGATCATTCAACGGCGTGCAGATCAACCTTGCACAATTCAGAAGCATCACCATTCAGCCCAATGGCAAGTCTGCTTGGTTTGGAGGCGGGGTGTTCGATGGCCAAGCCAACAGATACCTTTGGGATCAGGGATACGTCACGACCACTGGCTCCTGCGATTGCGTGGGCATGATGGGCCCAGGCCTTGGTGGTGGCCACGGCCGCCATGAAGGTCCTCACGGCATGATCAGCGATAACATTCTTCAGCTCAATGTTGTTCTTGCAGATGGAACTGCCGTTCGTGTCAACAACACCAGCCACAGTGATCTCTTATGGGCTATGAAGGGTGCGGGTCACAACTTTGGTATTGTCACCAGCTTCGAGATGAAAGTCTATCCCCGCGGTCCTGACACCTGGCACTACCATAACTATGTGTGGCGTGGAGACCAGCTCGAAGCTGTCTTCACTGCCCTCAACAATTTCCACGGAAATGGCTCAACCCCGGTCAACATGACAACCAACTTCGGAAACATGTTGTTGGATACCACCGTTTCGGATAAGGAGCCTGTCCTCTGGTGGACGTTTGCCTACCGTGGATCCGCTGCTGAAGCAGAAACACTCCTGGCCCCATTCAATGCCATCGAGGCTGTACGGGATGAGCAGGGAGATGTTCCCTTTCCAAAGGTGGCTGCTGCACAGCAGACTGATGAGAACAGTGCCATTTGTCAACACAACAAAGTCCGAATCACCGCCACAGCCGGTCTTCAGGTGTACAACCTGACCGCCGAGCGCCTTATCTTTGAAGGTTTCAAGAAACGCATTGCCAGCGACCCAACATTTGCCGCAGGAGCTGCTGTGACCCACGAAGGCTACTCCACTGCCGGAACGGATGCCCAGAATTCCAACGACTCAGCCTACCCCTTCCGCGATGACCATCATCTCATGCTGATTCAAATCGTCATCCCTCCTAACAACAAGACCATCGAACAGGAGGCCTGGAAATGGGCCAAGGAGGTGAGAGACCAGTGGAACCAGGGCCAGCCTACCAGACCAGTCAATGCTTATGTCAATTATGCCAACGGGTTTGAGTCTGTGGAGGAGCAGTATGGACATGAGGCGTGGCGGTTGAAGAAGCTTCGGGATCTCAAGGCCAAGTATGACCCTTTCAACCGTTTCCGGTTCTACAATCCCATCATCGGGAAGAAGACCGTTGGCCCCATTTAAGGTGATACAGATGAAAGATCCTCTAGAAGTCAACCTCGGGATAAATGTATCTAGATTCTCTACTACCTCACCTACGGTTCGTATTCAATCTTAAACCCATTTGCTCCCCTCACTGAAAGGCACATCTGTACCTCTACAAAAAGGCTTTGTTTACCTAGGAAGCTGGGTAAATTCCACTTCACACTTGTGATGCGCAAATGTTTCAACTACCACCGGGCAGCCTTTTACCTCTAAAGGTGAACTGCTCGAACTGCCCCCCAATAACATCCACGCATGTAATCTCTAGAGGTACCCTAGGTACACGATGGGGCCTTTAACACCTGATGATCGAACCATCCGTTCACAAATGTAAAGTTGGAATGCAAGAAGACTCCCGTTGATGCCCACAATACCTCTACGCTCATAAATAATGTATTAGGCTCTCGCACTAGTCAATAACTTTCCTAATTATTCACTGTCGTGCCTGGCAAAACAAACGCTTGTGGGCAGAGACCCCGGCCCCAAGCTTGCACATTCATTGTCTCCGCGACAGCGCGAAGCCACCTGGGTAGATACACAGCGCGAGATGTCATCCCGTACATTTCTCCAGCACTACCTATACAATGATGGCCCTTACACCCTTGCTGCTCGAAACCGGGAAAGGATTGAAGAAGTCGTGGTCGTGCGTCACATCGGCCTCTGTGGTTTCGTGAAGCTTCATATGCGGGAAGACGCGAACAATGAGCAATGAAAGCAGCACATAGAGCTCGCAGTAAGCAAGACTAGGGAGCAGTAAAGGTCAGTTCCACTTGCCATGATAATGAGGGTCTGGATTACTCACTTAATGCCAAGGCAGCTACGACTGCCCTTGGAGAATGATAGCAAAGCCCGGTCGAGTTCTTTCCGATGCTGATTGTTGTCATCGATCCATCGCTCTGGAATGAAAGAGTGCGAATTTGGAAAGACCGTTTCATCATGATGTATACTGAGAGGCGACATCCCGATTGCATAACCCCTTGGTATCACGTATTGAAATTCGCGCATGATGTTACTTCCCTTCGGTGCCCATTCGCCACGATACACCAAGTCTTCTCCAACTGGGATGCGAGAAGAACGACTGGCAACGCCATAGGATAGACGTAAACCTTCGTAGATGACACCTCCCAGGTAGGGCAACTTTTCCAGCGTGTGCCAAGAGGGAAGTTGTCCAGATTTGCCGTCGATGGCCTGTGTTACCTCTGTGGTGACCTTTTCCAGCAGCTCACGGTTTGCAAAGAGATGATAAGTGATGACGGATAATGCCCAACTGACGGTTTCCGTCCCGGCTGCAAACAATGAGAATCCCTCATCCGTCAAACGCTCGAGGGATTTCTCGCTTGGTGGAAGATCTGAGGTCAAGAGAGCACCAAAGACTGATGAGCCATCGTCGAGACCCTTGATCACATTGTCTTGTGCTCTCCTCACATATCTCGGCATATCCCCCTGGATGTCATAATTCGTCAGCGAAACAGGGCAGGGAAGGAAACTTTCACCAGAGAAAACGTACCACTAACGCATTGAAGAGCGTGTTCATATCCTTTGAGAATCGTCGAGTGATCCTGTCGTCCCGTTAGCGACAAGACCCGTATACAGCAATGACAATGGGACACCATTACATGGCTGTAGCAACACTCAAGTGCTTGAAAAAGGGGATAAAACGAAGCCAGTACATCAGTTTGAGCTGCGCGTACAATGGCTCGCGGAAGTTGGGCTCCCACCCCTTCTGCTCGATCAACCCAAGGCTGTCACCGAGACAGTAGCCGGAGATGACATCGGTGGTAAAATGGCTATATGCCGTAGTGACATCAAAGGGCGCTGACTTGCCCAGGATCAGGATTTTGTCACAAATGCGCTCGGCATAGTCGCGAACTGTTGGCTCCAGTCGCGCAACTTGTGCACGGGAAAAGAACTTGTTCAAGGCGTTTCGTCTCATCCGATGAAGATCATGGCTTGTGGTCGAAAAAGTAGCGTCGACAATACTGAGATGGATGGATGTCAGAATCGAGCCCAATTGAGTCGTAGATTATCACACGGGGAACTTGCCCTCCACTTCCTCGGACTTGATGCAAAGGCTTGTCTCGTTTTCTACTGCCGGAGGCGTAGATCTCGTCAATGAAGCGCCAGTCGCTACAATGAACTTCATTGGGACTGATGCGTACGACAGGGCCTAGGGTAATCGCATAGTCGTCGAGTTCCGTTGTTAGAGGACGGTGACAAAACATCGGAAGACATGTTGAGATGGTGCTTAGGGCTCGTCATACCGTATTCCTCGTGCATTAACAGGATGCGCTTCTGGTACATGCCACCTCGCAGGACGTCCCAATAGAACTCAGGAATGTACGTTGCCGCCGCAAGCTTGGGACCTGGAATATGTCGCAAAGGATGGAAAAAGACATTGTAGAAGGCACTCGCGAGGTAGAAGGCGATCGAAGCACTTGCTAAAACGAGAATACATCTTGCGGATGTATATAAGAGTTCTGCAAGTACATTATGTCCGCGCATTTCGTTGAGAGCGATGAAGGGATTGAGAAGAAAGTAGTTTGCGTAGGCGGTAAGATGATAAAATTGGTACTTTGGCTCGTAGTTGCTTTTTACTACGAATGTTTAGAGTGAGGATAGTGTTTGTGAAGGTTTCGCCCGACGTGCGTCGGCCGAGATGCGAGTGGAAGGTACTTAGAACGCACGTTGAAGGTCTTAGCCTAGGACTTGGTCATTTCTAGAACTTTATTTGCCACGGTCGCAACTAAAATTTCAAGTTTTAACTTCTTTTGCTTTTTTTCTCAACAATTATCGCGTGCACTAGAATGTGACCGGTACTAAAATGACCGCGTTTTTCTCCTTATTAATCTAATACTAGTTGTATTTTTATATATATAATAAACGAGCAGGAATATCTATTGTAATGTAAAAAGTAGCTTTTTTAAGCTGCTATTTAAACCGTGTCCTACTTGGCGCTAAATATTCCTATTTAAGCTTGCTAAGTAGGTACTAATATAGGG